AAAAAAAAAAAGAAGGCTCACCCTCTGTCCTCCTGTCCTTTCTTCAACTGGTAGCAGTGGTTCTCAAGCCTCAGCCTCCATGAGAGGCCCAGTGGAGACCTGGAAATGTAGACTCAGGAACCCAGGCCCAGGGCTTCTAATACAGCAGGCCTGCAAGCCTCCTGGTGAGACCACACTCTGTGCCCCATCTCCATCGTTTTCTAGCTCTGTGACCTTGGGGAAGTCACTAAACCTCTCAGTGCTACCATTTTTTCATTTGCAAAATGGGGCTATGATAGTATGTATCTCACTAAGCTGTGGGGATTTCATGCCTGGCTCTGAGTAAGGATTACCTGTAGTAGCTGCTGTTATTTTGATGAAGAATATGATGATCTCAGTTACTATTATTATTAGGGGGCAAGGCCCAGGAATCTACATTTAACAGGTGATTCTGCAGTCCACTGCATTTTGAGAATCACTGCTTACACTCATGATTCCCTCAGGTAGGAGAAAGGACAGACAAAAAACAACGCTCAAGGAAAGTCAAAGCAACTAGCCAGCTTTCACTACTGCTTCACCCAGTTAGCAATGCTGGATTTCACCTTCCTGCGTGCCTGCTGATGGTAGAAAGCTCTTCCAGAAGGGCTCTCTCTGCTGGGAAGCCTGGTAGGTCCACACCCTCCATCCATTCCACCCAGTGGAGGTCGGATACGTGTTGCGCTCACCTCTCCAACAGGCCTGACCACACTGTGGCCTAATCTCTGTTTGGTGAGCAACTTTAGAATGAGACTTAGGTGGTACCCCTGAATGTAAATGCCCTTCAAAATACAGATGAATTAAGTCCATCAGCTCTCTGCTTACCATGCCTTAACTCATCCAAAACCAGACGCTCCATTTCTTTGCTAAGGAAAATTAATTGCTTATTATTCCCTGATCTGATCAAAATTATTTGACCCTGAGACAATCTTGCCTAAACATCACTCTGCTCTAAAATACAGTATTATCAACAAACTTCTCATTAATACGATTCCTTCCCGAGTCACCCTCCTCGAATCAGAAAAGCCAAAACCCCCAGTATTGGCCTGGAGGACGCTGTTTGGAAAAGGACTCACGAGAAACACAGCTACTGTCTCTGAATTTCTGCTGCACACTAAGGGTTTGTTGTTGTCCCCCCTGTGTGAACAAAGGGCACAAAAGGGTTAAGGAGAGGGCCATCCAGATTCCTTTGGAAACCAAATCCAGAATGGTCTGTGGGTTAACACTAACATTTTCTCTCTACCCAGGTAATGCTCCTCTTGATTCTCTCTTTCCCGCCCTTCCTTCACTGTACCTGCTCTTTGGTTTCAGCTGTTTGGCTTTAATCTTTCCCAGTGCTAAAATCCAAGATACAACCTCGATGCCCAAAAATGGAGAATGACCCAGTGAATGGTGATACCTTCCCACAACAGAATCGTATGTACTGGGTGTTATACGAAAACAATGAATCATGGATCACCACATCAAAAACTAATGATGTATTGTATGGTGACTAACATAACATAATAAAATTAAATTAAATTAAAAAAAAAAAAGAATCGTATGTACCCATCAAGGGCCAATATTTCCAAGTAAGTTGAAAAGATATTATGCCCTGAGGTTAAGTGGAAATTTTTTTTTAAATAATGCAACATAAGTTCTAAGATATTAGCTAGATTAACACTTTTACACAGGAAAAAATACAGAAAGAAATATACCAAATATTAACAATTGTAACTTCTGGGTGGTGGGATTATGAGTAAATTTATTTTCTGCTTTCCCACTGTTCAGACTATTTTTCAAAGCTTCTTCTATGAGCATATGTTACTATTCTGATCAGAAAAACATAAACCAGTAGCTATGAGCACATACAATTGTGTCTCTTAAAATCCTGGAGACAAATTCTGTGTGATGGAGTAGAAACAGAGAAAATGAAGTAGGTAACTCTAACATCAACCACCAGAGCTTGAGAAATCTGACGCATTCATGAGTCTCTCTCACAAAGGACCACCTCAGGGCAGGTTGGGGATTTTGATCTCCCCCAAAAGCCTGACACCACTATCAGAAAGAGATCTCAGGACACTGAATTCGCTGGTCTATTCTTGGGCCCAGTTTAATTTGAAGTAGCTTATCTTCTTAAGCCCAAAAGAACACTCAGGAAATGGATGTGTCTTGGGTGTCTCTTCCCCTTGGAAGATTAGGATAATCAGAGACAAGCAAGAATGATGATGCAGAAAATAGCAGGACAAGCAGGAAAGACAGTGACACAGTACAGCAACAGAAAGTTCCCTTCTGTATCACAGTTAATGGGGAAATGAACCAAAAGCCTTGGGCATGTTCCCTTAACACATGACCCCTCCGTTGACACCTCCGTTCTGTGGTAGCCAACTGGCCTCTCACTGGCAAGGCAGCCTTGCTAATCACGGAAAGATAAAGATGGCAAATAAGCAGTTTAAAAATGAAATAATGAAGAGAGGAGCTTCTTCAAGGTGAAACAACAGTAACGTGGACACACATCGGCTTGCTAATGTGTTTTCACTGGAATCACTTTATCTGACCATCTGCTTGGGAGATTCCTGACAAATGAACATTTCAGGCCTTGCACTGATAGCTCTCGGAAGTCACATGGGTAAAACATCTGACTCCCATCTCACAGGAAGGGGGTGATAGATAAACGGTTGATTGAGAAGGCTCTGAAAAAATATCATCCACCCTACTTGTCCCTGTTCCAAAAGGCTTCGGAAGGTATGTTTTTTATAGTCAAGCCCAACAAGTATTTAAAGAGCACCTACTATACTTACATTAACTGAGAAATGCTTACACACCAGGCACTGTGTTAAGCACTTTGAATGGACCTTTCCATTCAATTCCCTCCAACGCAATTATTATCCCCATCTTATAGGAGGGAACTGGGGGAGACAGATTCCAAGTCTCCACCTGTTCAAGTGGAAATGCTGGTGTATGCTTTTTCCTGGGCTGCCAGAATAAATTACCAGAAGCTTGGTGGCTTAAAACAACAGACATTTATTCTCTCATAACTCTGGAGACCAGGAGCCCCAAATCAGGGTGTTGGCAGGGCCACACTTCATCTGAAAGCTCTAGGGAAGAGCCCCTCTTTGCTTTCTCCTTCCTCCTGGTGACTCCAGGTGCTCCTCGGCTTGTGGTGGCATAACTCTAATCTCGGCCTCTGTTGAGTTTTATTTTGCTTTTTTAGTTTTTATTTTTTTTTAACAATTATTATAATTTACTACAATAACCATGGTTATTAATAAGTAATTGGGCATTAATTCTTGAAATGTGGATTTTATGTAACAGTGCATTTTGAAAAGTTCACAGGATCTTTGTTCAACATGGAGACTTGTGGGTTGTCATTAAAAACGGGCTTTAGAACATTATGGAATGACTAAGTCATGGAGATGAGTGGCACACACCGGGAATAGAGTCAATGGTACTATAATAGCGTACACTTGTATGGTGAGAGACGGTAGCTACACTTGTGAACACAGCATAACATGTAGTTTGCAAACCACTATGCTGTACACCTCAAACTAATGTAACTTTGTGAGTCAACTATACTTCACTGAGAAAACATTTTTTTTAATGGGCTTTAGTTGGCCTGGTATCTGTAGAGTTCTTCTGATGGTTTTTTAAACCTCCCCACCATCCAAAAAAAAAAAAAAGTGTATATTCTTCTGGGGGATACAAATCACCTGGTACTAGGTCAAGATCTAGTTTAGTGGTTTTCCCATCCAGACTGCACACTATATCTCTTGGGAGCTTTTTATAAAAAAAGGATACCTAGTCCCCTCCCCAGAACAACTGAACCGGAGTCCCAGGAAACAGAGCCCAGGTATTTATATCTGCCTCTTTCATAATATGGTTGTCTTCTCTGTGTGTCTGTCTGTCTGTCTCCTCTTCTTGATGTAAAGACACTGGTCATATTGGATTTGGGGCCACCCTCATCCAGTATGACTTGATCTTCACTAATTACACTTCCAAAGATCCGATTTCCAAATAAGTTCACATTCTGAGGTTCCTAGTGGATGTGAACTCTGGCAAACACTGTGCACCCCGGGACTGCAGGATTCCGGCGTGGCCGTGTAACTCCAGAGCCCACATCCCGAGCCACGATGCTCTCAGTGCCCCTGAGGGCCCCACCCTGTTAGACACTGGCCACACACACTCTAGGTGATGTCAGACTATGACCTGGCTCCCAGCCCTGAGGAGCTAATGATTTACTGAATGCAAATGAGGTGATGAAGGAGGAAAAGCACATGTTGGAAATACCTCTGTGGACTTCTGTGTACCACAGAAACATGGAGGGGAAGGGACAAGTGATGGCTGGGGGCTTGAGCATCTGGACCCATGGGGAGGAGAGACCTGAGCTGAGGCCAAGAGGCAACACCACGAACAGCATGCTCAGGAAAGAGTGCATGCCCTGGAGGACCATGGGAAATGAAGTTGGTGTAAGGGTATTTTAGAGAGGCTTCAAAGGTAACGGAAGGAAATTTGATTCAATTTGGAAGGAAAAAAAAATTAATCGGGGCCAAAATGATAAAATTCGGGCTTAATTTAAACAGAGTAAGGCAGGGCAAGCGTGCAGCCTGGAAAAATGGCTGACACTTCTTGACAAAATAAGCTGTGCGCATGTGTGTACCAACACCCAGGGGCATCATGTTTGCATCTTCTCTGTCACATTTCAGCAACTTGCCTTAGAAAGTAAACCGAACATGCAGATGTCCACCAAACCTTCACCTCTCCGTTAGGAGAGTCCCCGTTACTACCAACCTCCCCAAACTCACACACACAGACACTAGCTTCCCTCCCAACACCCACTTGCACCCCAGCCAAGAGCTGAGTGAAGAGGAAGGTGAGAAAAAGAGAAATAAAAATGCCAAAGCAGCAGCCAGAAGAGAAGGCGGCCAAGACATAAATCACCTTTGCACCGCTCACAACAGGCTCCCCTCTGCTTGATGGCGAGGGCACAGTCTCTCGACAGCACGGGGCACTTCTCTCTCTTACAGGTCACTTCCTTGTTCTAGGCAGAAAGAGACAAGAGACATTTGAAAGAAACTCCAAACAGAACCCCCCAAATGCTGACACATGTCTGAGGTTTTGCTAGCCTCCCTCTTCCTATCTTGCTTTCATCTTGGCAAGAAACACTCATGCAAGCATTTTGCTCTCTCTGGAACAGAAATATTCATCCAGAAACACAGGACTTTTGAGATTAGGGGCACATGAGAGAGGAATGAAAAGTCCCCTCTTTAGAAACCAACGTCACCTAGATAACTGAATGCCGAGAGCAAAGCTTTCTCCCACTTTGTTCTAAGGTTTCTTTTTAGTACACACTATAGAAATGATAATATTTGTGTAAATCATATTTTGCCCATTGGGCTACCTGGGCCAGGACTGCATCGTGAGAACAAAAATATTTGCACACAGCCTTCCAACAAGCCTTAATAGTAGAGTGCATTAAAATGCAGCAATCTAAAGTTCCAACTCAAATAATGACAAAGTTGAGTATTGAATCAGCTCAGTAAGAGAAAAAATAATATTCCCCATGCCAAGCAGAGACACAGTCGTCAGTGTTTTATAGCCATGGGACAGCTGCATTATATTAGCACTTATGCTAATGAAGTGTGGTGAACATTTGCATCTTCGGTTTTATCCTGAAAGGTTAGCTGTTAAAATGTCTCAGAGAAGATCCAAACATTATGTATATGCCTCTTTATACACAGGCTGGATCTACGTGTGCCGAAAATACCATGTCACAAAACTTAACAAGATTTGTAAGTTTCTTCTATATGCTATATGCTAGGTGTTACGGCTTTCATTCCTATTAAAATTCTCTGAGATAAGTTTTATTACTATCCCCAGTTTATAAACAAGAAAACTGCTGCTCAGAGAAGGTGTAAGACCTGAGTAATTGATTCTCTTCTTTTCCCCCTTTTTGGTGTCCTTTATGTGAGAAGGGGGCCTCATGGAGCTAGCCTCATTTACTCCTACAATCCTGTGGTCCTCATCCTAAGCTGCAAATCAGGACCCCTGTGTGGTACTTCACAAAGACTGGCACTGTTGCCCAGCCCCTGTAGCTCAGATCTGATGGATCCTAAGGACCAGGCCTAGATGTTTTCCCAAGCTCCCCAGGTAATTCCAATGTGCAGCCAGAGCTGAGAACCACTACTCTGCAGAGAGCATTCTTGTGCCAAGTGAGGCTGAGATGAGTTCGGGAGCTGTCCACAGTCCCTCAGTGAAGGCAGATGTACCATCTGAACCCAGATGTCCCAGCTCCGAGCCCTCCCAAGTTGCCCTTTCCTCACCCTGTCCTTTCATAAGGGTGGTGGAATCAAGGCTCCCTGCAAGTCACAGCCCTTCAGTGGATTCTCATAATTTTTCTTAAATTACAAACATAATGCGTAGTATGGTCACAATTCAAATTAAAGAGGTCTGTTTTAAAAAAAATTAAATGTCCCTCCACTACCACTAAAGTAATCATGAGCAATGACCAGGTATATATACTGTTTGGCATTATTAACAGTGACTTCATTTGGCAGAGTACAGTTCCCGCAAGCCGTCGTTTGATACCGACGCCCCCCACCCCTGCCCCAAGACGTCTGTGAAATGAACACACTTTCTGACCAGAACATCTGTTAGCATGGCTCATGCAAACCTGGCTGCAGCCTCAGGGAAGGGCCATCCCCAAGGGCATCTCCTCTCTGAAGGGAAAAATCCTCAGACATGGGGAGTTCAAAGCTCCGAGGGCAGTCACAATGAGTGACAATTAGGGGTCTGATAAATAGGAAGATGCACACTTTCTTAAATATAGGAACTCTTTGCTAAATTAGAAACCTGGGAGCCAGTCAAAATCCGTAACAGGATCCCCAAATTCACAATAGCTTGTAACTACAGTCCAGCACAAAAGTTATTCCAACCAGATGGTTTGTAGCTTCACATCTGGAATTTTTTTTTTGTACACACACATGTACACAAGCACACACACACACACCCCCCAAACCTAAACTTTAGTTGTAGGTTTAGTGGGGGATTTCCCCCCTTCTAATAACATTTGGAGTTTTTTTATATTCTACCAAACTGCCATATCTGATCATTTCCCTGGTGTCTAGTTGGCATGGATATGAAGCACATGCTTAGAATCCCAGGACCTCGAAGAAAGTAAGAAAAACTAGAGAATTGCTCGTAAGAGGCTGATTCCTCTGTCTCCTTAATTGAGTCCAGCAGCTACAGAGTAAATTTAAGCACAGGTTAATTAAGACCACTCGCTCCGCTTTCACTGACTTTGCCAAGAGACCAACGCACTGGGCTCCAGCCAGTGGCCCTGCTGAGAAGTGGCGTACACAAAGCCATGCCTGCAGGGGTCCATCTCCACCGGCCTCCTCATCCCCCTGTGAGCCAGGTGTCCTCTGCCTTGAAGCAAGGCCAGGGCTCATTCGGTTCACTTTTCCACTCAAGAAATCTCTTCTGGACAAATACGTTCTATGTCCAGGGCTCTGCGCTAAGAATTTTATATGCATTATTTCACACACACACACACACAAAAAAAATCCACATCACCCCCATTTTACAGACGGGGAGCCAAGGTTAAGATTCTTGCCCAGGGTCACGCAAAAGGCAGATCTGGAATGCAAACAGAGGTCTGTCTGACTCCAAAGGCAAACATTTAAATGCTGCACTTTGCTACTTCCCAGGCACCCAGGATACGGACAAGAACAAAACAGTGTCCCGGCCCAGAGGCCCCAGGGGAGACTGGTGCCTCCCCTGTGGTGAAATGAGCTCTCTAACAGGAGCTGTGTCATCACCAACCATGGGAGGGTCTACAAATACCAGCTGCTTTCTGGTCATGAGGATGGTTATGCCATTTTGGATGCTGTGCTGATCGTACCTCTGAAAGCCAGACTGCCTTCCTTGAACAAACTATCCAGAGGTTCCAGCTTGGGTTGGAATCTCCCCAAATCTAAGCAACAGAGAGAGTGGTAGAAAAGCACTGGAGAAAAATGTCAGAACATTCTAAAAGAAACGGACCTAGCCGGTGTAGAAGAGTAATAAACCTTATCACATTTTTCATTCTCAGTCTCTGTCTCCTGGTGTTTATCCCTTTCTAGGGTCAGCCAGCCTGTGATTTACCTGCTGTCAAAGGCGTCGGCATGATTGCCTCCTTTCTGAGAGACCAAATATATCAAAACCCAAAAAACAGCCTCTGGAGGCACATGAAATGAAGTGCCAACACGCAAAAATAAAAGGGGGGCATAGGGAGTAAAAAAGAAAAAGTCTACATGGCTGGCAACAAAGCTCTATAAGGTTGTGAGCCAAACCACAGCCTCAGCCACAGCCAAGTTCAAACAGGATTCCGGCAGCCAGCTTGCTGTGCCTGAGATCTGCCACTAGGTGGTAGCACAGAGTTCCCTGGGCTTCGGAACTGGGAGGATGAGGGGCTCCCGAACATTTTTCAGTGTCTGGTGTGGAGGGACATGATCTCTCACTGAAGGGGGGCAGGGGCTATAGAGAAGATAGCCGATCACCACTGTGAGGTTTTCCTGTCTGCTTTCTGCAACTAGAAAAAAAATGTCTTTGACATGCTTTTTTTGTTCTATTTCAAGCCAATGTCTTGAAGATATTTTTTTCTAAGATTCTTCCAGGACCAATCCTATTATGAAATATGGAAAGTATTACCTGACCTTTCACTTATATTTAAGAAATAATAATAAAATAGAAATCTGGAGAGGAAAACACAGCAGCTAATAGGATGAGACTGATCAGGGAGAAATGTCAGCTGGCAAATACTCTATTTTTAGACTCTGAAACAGCATCACAAATCTCTTGAAATAAGAATTAAAACAAAAATACCTGGTGCCCAGCCTGCTGAGACTCCAGGGCCATGTTAGGAAGGTGGCAGACCCCACGAGTCTCTTCCTCTAGAAGATGGCATTATTTTCCTTCCATCCTTGTCTCTTATGAAAGCAAAGCCTGCCTTGGAGGCAAACAGCTGTCATTTGGCAAACTAGCAAATTCTAAGTGCCAGACCCTTTTTCAGAAAATCAAGAAGGCTGCGAAGTTGTTATACTTCTTTCTGCCCAAATGAACAACACTCAGTATGTCAATGAAGCCTACAGACCAGGTTGTATCAGAGAGGAGATGAAGGGGTTAACAGTGGCTCTCTTCCTTAAATTAGAAACCCTGCCGACTTTCCCTTCCTCCTCCTTAGATGCATATCCCCCATTCTCATATCATCACTGCAGTCTTATTTGGGGAGGGGCTTATAGATTGTGCTGCCCTCAAGAATGCCCCTCCCAAACTGCAAACCTCCATGGGGGCGAACCCATATTAACCCTGAATGGTCTGTACCCTTCATCATGGGCTACTGTCCAGGGGATGGATGCCCAGCATGACCACTCTCAGAAGTATAGGTACTTAGCCGTGAAGTTCTAGAGCAGCCAAAAAAAACCCAGGACGTGACACCCAGGCCATAGTACTCAGTGCTGCTGGAGTGAGAAATCATGCCACAAGCTTCCCCTCTAGTCTCCAGAAACGTCTACAGTGTTGGAGGCAACAAGACGTCAGACACTGGCAGGTCACACAAAAACTCCTGTGTAACTTCTGGCATCAAGTGAGAATTTCACCTTGACTCAAAAGCCATCGTGGTCAGTGACCACAGATGGGACACGGTGACCCTTAACCGAATTATTTTTATCAGTGAATTTATCTGAAGTCCACACACGAAGATGGTTCACTATTTGAGTCTGGAGACTGCTCACAGAGGAATTTGTTTTTAGGAATACAAATGTCTTGTGTCAAGCTTCCCCAGGAGGAAGGTTGATCCGACATCAGCACATGTATACTCTGTGGAATTTCTAGCCTCCCCATGCATGAAGTCAAAGAGGTCAACTTTTCCTTGAAGTTCCCCACTGTAACCCAATTCCAGCCCCAGAAGAGCCAAAGGGAACTTTATGGTGCTTTTGAACGCAGGTCACAATTTCTCCTAGGCAATATTATAAAACTTCTCATAAACAGAAGAATAATACT